GCTTATTTTATGACGCTTTCACAACTCGTGACCTGTTTTGTCTCTCCGGACTGAGTAAAATCACCTACAAGATACTCGTACATCTGAACGGTAATGGAGCCCGTGATCTTTAAACACACGAAGAAGTTCCAGCTACTAAACTGCATTAGTTTCTCACAGTTTTACAGTTAACCTAAAAATAAAGCAAGACTGTCACTCTTTACACAGATATCATTTGTTTATGGTGAAGATACTCTTCCTCCTCAGTTACTCCATGTCGATGAAGGGATCACTGTGTACGTTCATGGACGTCAACCTAATTACCGTATTGATGGATGATTTATCAACATTTTTACTACGAACATATGATGTTTCACACTTTACCCTAGCTCAGTCATGGGAATATTATTTTTCCGCACTTTACCCTAACAACTTGCTGGTGGAGATATCACACTGCTCAATGCTATGGCTGGACTAGCAGAGCCGAACAAGACCCGTCCATCGCCTAGGTCTTGGTGCGTTCCCAATGTTTAAACTTGCATTTAGCACCGAACTGGCCTTGGTCCGTTAACAGATACGTACAAACCAACAAGGAGAGTTCCTTTCTGCGTGGATTAGAGTCCTTGATAATTTAATATTCTCTCAGCTTGTAATAAAATTTTCCACATTTTAATATTATCCTTCCACCTACTCCTGATCTCTTAATTGGTCTCGTTCTTTCAGGATTTTCGGCCAAATGTTAGTTCATCTTAGTGTTTGGTATTCGTGTTACAATTATAATGAGGTTTGTCTTTAAGAATCACTACGAAAATTGATGTCTTTGAAAAATAAAGGGTAATACAGGATTGAGAATAATAGATACTGAAAACAATTTACCGTTAGACCAAAAAGATATACAGGACGACTTATGAAAACCAATAACCTCTGTCACATTTCAAAGACCCAAGGTTATCAAATGGAACGTGAAATATTGAATTAGTTGGTTAACTTCCTTGAAGAAAGATGAAAAATTTAAGGAAATTGGCGAGATAACAAAGCGGTTTGTGACGAACAACCGAGTAGTATCAGGATAATTTCTGTTACGTTGCTGTCGAATGTTGTGGCACTACTGTGTTTGTGCGACACCACAGTAAGTTGAAGCCGTTTAAACAGGTGTCAAGTGCTGTAAATCGCATTGCTAATATTTTGATTGATTAACAAAACACATTGAATGTTTAATGACTCCTTTACGTGGGCGTTTATTGCTAAATAAAAAAGACTAAAAATGAATTATAAATTAATTAGAAATATTGATGATGTAGCTATGGCCCAGTATTTGAAAGTTGAGGTTCTTGCTGAGGTGAGGTTGACGACATTGTCCATCAGCCCTGAAAATGGAATCAGTGTTTTCTCCGAAACGTTGTTATATACCTGCGAATATACACGGCGTCAAAATTTGTAGGAACAACATCGCCATTCCAGTATTTCGTGGAAAGACTGAGGATAGCTTATAAACCTAGCTGAGATTCGAACTAATTACCTTCTGAATACAAGTCTAGAACATTACTGCTATATGAACTAGTTTTTGTGGTAGCATTATGAAGCTGCTATAAAATCGGCTTAAATTTAAAAAAATGCAGCTGACTTCTTTTCTAGTAGCGAATGGAAACAAGGATCGGGTTGTTCTATTCTCTGCTTGTTATTGGGAAACTTTTTTGTGGTTCTGTTGCTTCACTGCTTAATATCGGTTTTCTTTGCATCTTCGTACAAACATCTAATCAACCATCTGCAACAAAATTTCTCTGTTTGAAGCTAAATAAAACTCATGCACTTTTTATTTATAGAACTACAATCTGTTTTATAAAACATCATACATTTTGTTTTTATGTTGATTCCGTTCCTAAGCGTGGTGTAATGCTCGGTGTTATTTCTAAAAATTATGTCGTATTTTCTTTCATGTAATTTTATATTGTTCAACGTTTCTCGTTTAACAAATTCGTCACGATCATTTTAATTTAATTTCATGATAAGGGGACTGTTGTGTTGTCTAGATAGCCCAGTTGAAAAAAGTGATAGCCACAAAGCCTCCTATTCCGTGGGCTGTTTGTCTGGGTGTAACGTGTGTATAAGGTGACCTGAAAGTGAATTTTATTAATTTTCTGCAAAAATAAATTAAAAGTCGCAATGAAATTGCCACACTTAAGCCTATATGCGTCACTGAAATGCGAACAAGACGTCTTAGCTGTTTTATCGCCCAACTTTTTAACATTTCGTTTCCTGAACAGAATTTTCAGCAAAAGCAAAAACATGTAGGCCAATTATACGGTTATGCCATACCTCATTGAGTTCATGTCCGGCTCCTTACCTTGGGGCCCGGGTTTGCTTTCACGGCAGTCTGTGTGGGATTTTTGGTAGACACCGTAGCACTGAGATAGGCTACTCTCCAAGTCTTTCGGTTTTCACCCATCATTGTTATTCCACCGCTGTTTAATATTTACTTACGTCTTGTCTGAGGGCCGGACAGTGGATGCCTTAGCGGTTTAATTCCATCCCAATACAACAATAATATCAACAATACATTCGTCCGTGTGCAACAACTTAGAATATTTGAACGCAAAATATTGCGGAAAATCTATGGTCCAATACAGAATAGTGATGGCTCCTGGAGAATTAGGATGAATCATGAACTAGAGTGTATCATACAGGGAGCAGATATCGTGAGGCTAATCAAAAGCAAAAGGTTAGCCTGGCTTGGCCATGTTGCAAGAATGGAAGGAAACAGGGTAACTAGAAGAGTGATGGAATGGAGACCGATGGGAAGAAGGATGAGAGGGAGACCACGGAAACGATGGATAGACGACGTGGAGGAGGATGTGAGGACGATGGGAGTAAGGGGATGGAGAAGAATTGTGAATGATAGGACAGAATGGAAAAAATTCATCGAACAAGCTAAGACCCACACAGGGTTATAACGCTATAAGAAGAAGAAGTGTATAAAACATTTAATTCCCATTGCACTATCGATCATTCGTACACGGCCCTAATAAAATGGGTAGAGAAATGTGAGAGAAGGCGTAAAAGGATCGAACTCGTAAAATTGGCGCTACGCTCCTCTGGTCGGTGGTTCCACCGCCCTAAACGTATCCATACGTATACATGGAGGAACACGCACCAAGAACTCCAAACAACTGGGCGAGCCAGCCAGTCAGCCCCATTCCCCACTAAGTGCCATCGAAACTGCTAAAACTTCGTATAAAGTGACTGCGGAAATGATTAAGACCGTGTGGAAGGCAGAATTTAACATCCGCTTTCTTTTCTGGATGTATATTCCTCGAATATCACAGACGAATGTCTTGAATGGGAATTGTCATAGTTCTGTGCAGTCCTCAGTTCAAGACTGACAAGCTCAGCTGTAATCTTAGACGCTGCCCACCGCCTTGGTTATTTACTTTTAAAGGCCCACAACATTTCGGAAAATGGATCTATTTATCAATGGAAGGAGTACGTATGCAGTTGAGAAAGCCTCGTTAAATAAATAATCACACGTTCGTGGCTCCAAGAAGATACTGACAGAAATTTAAATGTAGGTCATAGAAAAATGTTCTAGATCTATTAAATTAAATTAACTTGAAAACAATAAATACACAAAGACGAGTATCATTTCGCCTGTATATTGATAACACAGACTGTTTATGTGTATATTTTACTCTAGAAGTAACTGTAAGTTAGCTCTTGTGCGTGGGTGGTGTTTGTGTTTATCTGATCACAAAATCAATAAGTAGACACACATCAGACCTTTCTCGATAATTAATAGGCCTTAATATTGTGACAGATACATCAAGAACTGAAAACGTTCGTGTGCTCTGCTATTCACAGGGTCTGGTCCCAGTACTGACATTGCAAAATATTGTTATTCCCAAGTGTCTGTACAATTCAGTTACGTATTTCAATATATTTAAAGAAAATCTGACAAATAATTTTAACATATTAAACGTTTCACATAATATTGGTAATGTTCATATCAAATAAAATAATTAGGATGAAATTAAGGACATTTCAATGTTATATCGGAAAATAATGTTTGTCATACAATACAGAATGTAGAACCCTGAAGAATTGAATGAATAAACCCATACTTTAACCTGGGGGTTTTGTGTGGGCGAGAATTTTTTTTTAATATTAAGGGGGTAACATATACTCTGGCTATTAAATGGTAGGATCCTCTTGTGTATGTTAAACAACAAAGCTTAAATAAGATATTTATTTCAGTGAAGACACTATATAATTAACACTAGCATGTTTATATACGAACGTCAGAAAAGTACTAAATTGTAACTACATTCATCTAACATTAAATAATCTAGAACACACCCGTTGATGACAATTCGCCGAAACATGTCGTAGTATTCTGTTAGCAAATGCAACCCTTTAGGGCCCTGAGATAACCTTTAAACGAAGAAATTTGTTAAATGGTTATACAAGGAAAACTAAAAAGAAAAAAAATACATTACATACTGCAAATGTTCGCAGATGAATATTTTGTTGTAGACCTATTTGTCAAGGAGAATTAACAAGAGAAAACAGTATCAATTTCAGGGATATAGTTTAAATGCGTCATGTTTGTGTTTTATAATTAAAATATATAATATAATTCAGGTCTATACACAACATCGTAGTAACGATGAATAGCGCAAATTTTAAATTTTAACATCTGTAAGTAAAGTTTGTGTATAGACCTGAATTATATTATATATTTTAATTTCAGGGATGGTATACTTGTGGTACGCCTGTCACAACTAACAACGCCTTTGTGAAAGTAAATAATATATTGGTAACTATTATTTATGGAGTGTTAGGTAAAAATTACGCCAGACCCAAGAACAGACTACTTTAAAACAGTGCGTTATTATGGAAGAAGGCAAAATTACAATTTCTAACACCTGCACTTAAAGTACGTGAGATTGCGTTGTTCACAATACGATAACTTTCCCTTTAAAGTAGACGATATTCAGAATATTTGTGGTGATTGTTATTCCACTCACTGTGCGTCTCCTTTCCTCCTGAAACCAGCTGATTAACTCAGTTACAGCTTCTCTTGCTTTGCACTGCTGACCCCCGGAGACCGCCTGACACATTTATCCTTCACCGACCGTCACCCCACCACAGCTGTGCGCTGAACAATGACACAAGTAGCAGCTGTGTCGCTCTGGCAAACGTAAGGGTTATACCTGCGGTCTCTTCGGCTTTAAGAAAGGACTTGCTTTTATTGAGACAACACTGCAACGTGCAGTGGGATAATGCAGGACGCCCAGGTACAGTGCAGACCACAAGTCACATGAACAGACATTATGAAGTCATGAGTGATACAGAGATGAAGCAAGAGCGGAAAGAAGACAATTCCCTTGAAGATGGGACAGGCCGGAAGGGAAATTCCTTGAAGTAGAAGAATATCTATGTATTATCCCTTCGGTACAAATTGGTGTGGAAATGCCTTTATCACACAATTCTACTTGGTGTCCAACTTACATTCTCTCTCAGGACTTTGTTTAATAGGCCCAAAGGTGGAGTTTAAATGGTTTAAAACAATTTGTCGTTGTCTGTCTTGTATTACCTATCCACTCATTATAACAATACCAGAATTAGCTGTTAGGTATCTGTGGTAGTGTGTAGCCTTATAATAACCACCAATCGCATAAAGACAGGAACAGAGCAAAATCCAGAAATGTATATCAAATTTGCTTCAGACAGTTAACAATGCCCAACATAATTGTGGTTTAATGAAATGAATCGTTGTTTTCTCAGGCACTTTAAAATATCATTAAGGGTCTTCGGTATCTTTCTTTGCAGGATCTGTATTTCTCGAAGTTAACGACATTGCCAGTAGCCAGTATAAAAATATTTTATTCAACTTTCTGTGGGACTGTGGATTTTCTTATATGGAAAATAGATTCAGGTTGTGTTTGTGGATCCTAATTACTAACACAGAGTAAAAAATACACGAAATATTCAGAAATATAAATATGTGACCGTACAGTTTCCTAACGTTAATTAAAATCTCAGTTCCTGGATTTATTTGCCTGTGTCGAAAAGTTTTCCTTTGCTGCAAGTCCACCGCCTGGTTTCAGAGTTCCTGCCGTACAGCTAGGCATCTCTTCACTACGGCTAACTGTCCATTCGATATTTGTGTTAAGGTCGCTACTTCAGCGTGTTATTAAGGCTGGTCTCTCTTCTTTGTGAATAACCATGTTTTGTACAGTCTTGATAATCATTTGTTGCAGATAAAAATCAGTTTATTATTTTATTTTTTATTATAAATCTTCACCAGTTGTCGTGGCAAGAACGAAGTCTCTTTGACTTAACTAGACAGGATTACACATTGAAAAGTAGTAGCTTACTTGCATTTCTTTAAATGCACCAAGTCGAATTACAGATCTTCATAAGAACTATATATTTTACGTGATGCGCAAATTTTTGTATGATTATCAGATATAAACAAAGAAAGAGAAAGGAAGGAAAGTAAGAAGGTACAAAAGATAAAAGAAAATTGATAAAACTAGCAAGAAAGAAAGAGAATGTAGTGGAAATAGGGAAGTGTAAGGAGCAACGTCCTTTACTCTCATATGAACGTTCGGAGACTATTGTTTCTTGGTTTCCTGCTAGTTCCTTAAAGTTGTCCGCGTGTAAGGAAGAACCTGGTGTTACGAGAACAGTGTAATGCGCGTCTTTAATGCGAGTGACCTCTATGTCACAACTCAGAACGCTCAGGGAAAGAAACTTTGTTATTCTGAAGTGGAATGGCCTGTAACTTGTGTTCCCCTACAGTTTCCGTCCACTTAAACTTGGCTCGTGACCTAACGACATGATTTCTATGTAGATAGAAATACTGTTAGTACGATAATGTAGTGGCTCATATTTAACGACGTAGTCCAGTGCGTATGTAAGTTACTGACAGCATGTGTGACTAAGCTTAAACGGGGGGGGGGGGGGGGGGGGGGTTTATTTTTATGTTGCTACGTCGCGAGTGTCTGTCTGTCAATCTCTCTATCCGTTCTGTGATTCATATACAAATACCAATTTGATAGACAGCAGTTCATTATAGTGGAACTCGCTATGAAATCCATGCCACCTGATTGCCCCACCTAGGCCCACTTTTTTTTTTTAAATACCCGAGCTAAAGGGTTAATGTCTGTGTCAGCAGTACAAACATGGCAGTGGTGTATCGCTATTGAACTACGATCTTAAGCTTTGTATAGTGTTGTAATAAATCAAAATTATAAAAATATCAAATACCTCACTCATTCTGTAGAACAGAAGAGTTAATAGTAGCTCAGTGTGTCAAGAAATTCCACTCCCTTTATGAAAAATAATATTTGTTTTTATATATATTGTTTAAATCTTGTCCGTCTAATCACAATAAATTCTTATTAAATATTAAAATATTACAATAATTAACATTTAAAATATTTAAAATATTAAATGATGTTCTTTATCGAATATTTAATATTTTAAATGTTAATTATTGTAATATTTTAATATTTAATAAGAATTTATTGTGATTAGACGGACAAGATTTAAACAATATATATTTATTATATCACAATATGACGCAACTTTACCATCTTATTTTTTATGTTTACAGTAGTGCACCATTGAACCCTACCCTTAGCCATGTAAATTACTCTGTTTCTTTAAGTTTCATTTTAATATTATCCTTAATCTATGTCTTCTAAATCCCTCCAGATTTTCTAAAAAAAGTGTATTTATTTTTTTGCCCATACGTCTCAACCATCTCATCCTCCCTAATCTTGCCACCAAAACATTTTTCTGTGGTGAGTTCAAATACCAAGTCTCCTTGTTGCGTAATTGTTCTATTGTTCTGTCTGTTATTCTCTTCCGGTCTCTTTACAAGCAAATTAGACTGAAAGTTTAAAAGTAGAAGTACTAGAAAATCTAGAGAAATTGAAGCCAGTTCTGTAATGTTTTGGTGGTGATTGTGTACACGTGATGCGGTTAACACGTGTGACCGTCACTTAAATACCTACGTGTAAACAATCACTTGTGTCGCTGCCGGTTGTAACGAGGTCAATTTCCTTTCAGCAAGGAAGAGGTTGACAACTGCTTGCTCATGATGTGATGTGTTTCTCAGTTGCAAGCGAACACTGACCAACAATTTCTTGATTTGTCATTGTGCGGGTCACGGTTAGACTTGGAACACACGTCGTTAAAATTAGCAAAGATATAGACGTAGGAACACACACAGAAAGCCGAATGTGTGCCCGTATTCCACGAATGGAAAACCGCTGTCCCCTAGCTCTGTCCAAAGCGGTAACTCAGTTAAACAATTAATATGTTTCTTAAAGAAATTCTGCAATGTCTAGAAAGTGACGTTGAAATTAATTTAATTTACGTCACAGATGGAAGCTGTTTAATTGGGAACCGTAAATGTAAAATAAACATACCTTATAACGTTGTTGCACTTAGCAGTCTTAAATACAATTAGTTTCCATCACTTGGAAACCAATAAATACTGTGTTTTACAACCCGCAAAATTAGAATCACAATACGTATTAGGCAGGCTTACAACTTGCAGTTTGATAACGGCCTCCGAGGGGTACTTCCAGAAGAATGAGGGTATAAACCACTGCTGTCAATCAGGCTTCGAAACGCTCAGCGTCGGTTTTCGAGTTTCCTTTTCAACGTCATATGGAGACTCATCTGAGGTTAATTCGGCGTCCTTTCAAGGCGTCCTGATGTTACGCGTCGCGACGTCTGGCGGCGACATTCTCACAGCGTGCCCAATTATATTCTTCAAACAACGCCAATTTTACCGCAATGGAGGTTCCGAGTACCAACTAAAGCAACAAAACCGACGCCGAATATAGCGAATTTCGTATTCGGGACGACTCCAAAAGACGTTTTATATATAGCCTACGTGAGCATCGAGTCGCTAAGCGTCGTAACAAACAAATGTTTGAGAATATAAGAGAGAAGTATCTGAAATACAAGAATCGATGCAATGGACGTCGAGCGTACCGGTTAAACCTGTCAGGGCGCAGTGGGCAGAGAAGTGGACACCGGTTAACATAGATAACAGAAGGGAAGAAATGAGATGATAGGAGAAGAGAGATTAGAATCGAATCGGGTGAGAGGAGAGGCGAGGAACGGGTAAAAGAGGATTACAGAATAGTTGAGAATAAATGAGAGAGTAGGGGTGACGCGAGATGAATGCAGGAGAAAGGATAAGAGAATGAAAATGTGCTAGAAGAGCGAAGAGAATAGATGCGATGAATGGGGATAAAAGAAGGGAAGTGTACGACAGAAGAGTGGTGGGGATGTACTTAGACACATTGCTGCCGAGGCTGTTTCAGGCTAAATGTATCTCTCGGTGCAGTTCTATTAAAAAAGTCTAATTGGAATGTTAAGTAGCACAGAATATTTGAGACAATGTCTTTTTATGTAACTCATTTGCTACTTGTTTAAGATTATAAATTGATTAACAATTGTTTCGGATGTTTTCGACCTAAATGTTTTAAAAGAAATTTCATCTTATATATTAAGGGATGAACCTTAACTGACGGTGTCTATGTTGGTGCTGAGGGGGATATTTAGATCGAAGGGAGATCAAGCTACCGGAAGCTGGATAAAATTGCATGTCTAGAAACTTCATAAATTTGTATATCACATGACGTCGACTTAATACATAAATATTAATCCGCTTTTGCATGTAATGCCTTCACTATCATTCACATTAGCGTACGGAAAGAGAAAGTGGGGAGAATGAGAGAGAGAGAATAGTTCGTCACCTCGCGACTTCTCGTGGGACAGTGGCGCGTCGTCATGGTAACGTCCCCTTAGCCTCTGACCCTCGAACCTGTAGCGATATGACACTGTTACCCGCCTTACAGGTAGTTACCACTTGTGATAGGGCCTGCCATTTTATTTGAATTTGACGTGATGTTCCTAGACATTAACATCTCTATGTTGAGCCCAAAGATGTTAAATATTTCAATATTGTTGTTGTGGCATACACAGAAACTTTTTTACTGTACAAGTTATTCGCGGTTGTTGGAAGTGGCGAATCTTCTATCTTAATCGATAGTATCGATATCACACTGTCGTCGGTTGTTTGACGGTTGTTTCTTTAAGAAGGGGTCACGATACGTTTTCTTCTATTTGTAAGATATAGAATAGACATAGACATGACCTTCACATTACGAGCCAAACGCAAACGT